CAGTGCAGCCTTGGCCCCTTCTTCTCTGTGCTTCCCAAGGCGCCTGTGCAACTGCTGCCACAAGGAGTCAAGCTGGGGCTCTGGACCGCAGTGCATCCACTTGCAGACTTGTGGTTGCCTGCTGTAAGCAGCCCAGTCTCCACAGGGGGTGGCAGGGACCTGCCCAGAGGCTGCAACTGGCTGCATCAGGGCCCGGAGCCCCACCCCGGCTCATTGGTGGCAGTGGCTGCATGCACACCTCAAACACCATGGCAGGGAAGGGGCCGGGGCTTCCCTGCCACAAAAAGGATTTGGCTTCTCGTGGCTCCTCCACCAGTGTCCCTGGCATGTTAATGTATTCTAAGTCCAAGTTGTGGGGTTTTTTTGCTCTCAGTCCAAAAACATTGCTGACCCCTGCATAAATATACAATTGTACACCTGCAGTATAAATACGTGGTATATCCAAAAGGATTTATATTGCCATAACTTCACTCCCACTTAAATTGATGGGAATGGTACTATCAACTTCAACAAGAGTAAACAAATGCAATGTTAAGTAGTTATGAAAATTCCAACCATAGCTATATTTTAAATAATCTGTTTACTTATGTGGCTGTCATTGCCATAGAGTCTAAGAACAGCAGTTGTTTCTCATCTCCATTTTACAGAAAGAATGTGATGACCTAATTCAGACAGGAAGTCTGGAACAACTGAAACTGAACTGAAATTTTTAGTCCCAGTCCATGTCTTAACCACAAAGTCTCTCATAATACCCACACAAATAATATGAAAGGTGACAATTTTATATGGAAAATATGCTTTAGTAGAGTCTTTATGGTGTGGAAAAAGTATAACAAGTAAGTAAGCTCTTTTCATATAGGAAACACCTGTTTTTACACTTTTTAAAGTGAGTACATTTATACGGGAACTGTAAGGTACAGAGTTCCTGCTTTGCACTGATGTATTGCAATCTTTCCCAGACACTAAAGCCAAAAGTCAAGAGAATGGAATTTGTGGAAACCCCATACACATCATCTTTACCCTGCGCTTTGTCAGGCCCAACCACAAGGACACAAGTTATAGGAAAGTGGAGAAATCACCAAACTGATGTATTTTTGTTATGCATTATATGTTGTGCTTAGGAGTGTTCTACAGCCAGCATACTCTCCTTTCACAAAAATAAGTAACCTCAAAAGGTGAAAAGTGGTAAAAACCTAGGCGGACTTGAGTACATATTTTGTTTATTGCCTTCCTTTAAATTTCTAATCTCCTTATACAACTTGAACCCTGACAAATTGCTATCATAATAAAAAGCCCAGGAAATGTTACTGATAAATAGTCCAATCTCTCTTCTTGTTCCACCACAAATACCATCCCCATAAGGCCAACTTCATGTTTCACTTTTAGAGGAAGCTGGGGAAGACAGCCATATAATGTCAGGTGCTCATAGTTCAAAGGCCTATAACACATGGAATAAGTTTTGGTGGTCTTTCTGTAATTGAAATTTGTTAGAGCAGACTTGATTTAATCGAGTCTGTTGAAGTGTGGTAATTATCGTTGAATGAGCTTTAGTTAAAGCGCCCCTGCTGCCATTTTTCAGCGCAGTCACTGATATACATGACGCTCCAGTCACTTTAATTACAGCGGCTATTGGAGCTGCTCTAATTAAAGTCTTCCCTCCACCCCCACACCTGCCTCCCAGAGCATGTGTATAAAGACACCAATTTTCAGGTATATCCATTTTGTACAACAGCATCAGTTCTACCCAGATTCTTACTAACATTTGCTCTTGTATAAATGCAACCTGGTGAGGCTGGGGAACAGGGTCACACCATAATATATGGAAGTGCACAGAAGTCAAACAATAATTGTTATTTTTAATTAGGTTTTTACAGAAACAATCAAAACATATTAGGCTTTAAGTTTCTTGTTCAAAGACACCACAACAGTTTTCTATTGTGTTGTATCATAGACAGTTCGACAGTTTGTGCATAACTAGTGATTTTTCTGGGTAAATAAACTTCACAGTAAAAATCAATTGAAATATCAGAGACCCAGTTATGTACTTTTTCAGTTATATTTTGGACATTATTTTGATATTATGTTCTGGTAGTACCGATAAACCCCAATCAAGATTTGGTCACCATCAAGGTATGTACTGTGCTTATGTGTTGTAAAAGGCAAGTCCTGTCTCCAAAAAAAGCTTACAGTCTAAATAGTGAAGATAAAAGATGGGATGGGAAACTAAAGGACTGAGAGGAGAAATTTGGTCCACAATTTCTCAGTGGTAGAACCTAAACTAAAACTCAGGTCTTCTGACCCTTGGTCCAAGTGTCCTAACTACTGAATGAAACAATCTGTTTTTAAATGACCCATTTCATGGTCCAAGCCTTGTCCACTTGCTGAGCTTTTCCTAGTCATCTTTGTTTGGCAAAGCTCCATTTTCATGCAACCACCAGAATTTAAAGTTCAATATAGGCATATGCACTTGCCCTGTAAGTCACTGTCCTTGTTTTACGTGTTTCTGTGCAAGTCTGGGAGAGTAACTAAAGTTACATATGTAATTCACGTCAGGGAACCTAGACAAGCCAGCTTTTTAACTCTGAAATATTTATACTGAACTTGTAACCTGAATCTGACTGTACTTTGACTAATAAATGGAGGTTTCAAAACACAGCAAGCCTCCCAATGGTTCATGAACTGTTGAGGACTCAATGTTCTAAGTGACGACAGCACCAGGAAGTAGTGTTTCTGGATACAGAAGAGCAAAGTAGACTGCAAGTAGGCCTGTACGAGTAGGCAGCTATTCGATCTGGCTTTGGATCTGGCTGCGTCAGATGACCAGGATCCGATCCAGAGCTCCAGACCAGGTTTTCGCTTCAATCTGGCCGAAGCAGCTCCAAAGCTTCAAAGCCGCCTCGGAGATCCGGCCATAGGGTATAATGGGGGATCAATGAAATATCTATAACTTTGTTGTTTTTTGCCTGATTTAGATTAAACTTGCAGGAGTGGTAGCCTCTGCTGAGTGCATGAAGCCTGCCAGGTTTCAAGAAGATCAGTTCAGGGGTTCAGGAGGAGCTGCATCCCAAATTCCTGAAAGCAAAGCCATGTCATGTGTATGGGTTATACCACAGGGGGATGAAAACCACATGGGTGGCGGCCCCTAGTGAGGCCACAAAGCCTGCCAGGTTTCAAGTTGAAAGATGCAGGGGTTTGGGGGAAACTGTACCTCAAGCTGCAGACAAGCAAAACTCGTGACATGGGTGACATGGTGTGTGTTAAGCCACAGCGGGGTAAAAGCTGCAAGAATGGTAGCCCCTGCTGTGGCCACGAAGCCTGGCAGCTGTCAAAGAGATGGGTGCAGTGGGGTTCTGGGTTCTGGGGCCCTGCACCCCTCGCTGCTGACAGGCAAAACTCGTGACATGGGTGCTTGTGCAACAGACTGTCTCTGTCTTGGGACAGTTGATTGTCTGTATTGATTATTTCTTCTCCTTAGTCTGTTATTTTGTAGGTGTTAATTGGTGCTAATTAACTGGCTACATTAGCCAGCTACGGTGTATTGAGCTAGTCCCTGAGTGAATCATTATTGATTGGTAACTGGTAACACAGTAGCTTAGCAGCCAGGCCTGCAGTAGTGTCTCCCACCCCCTCCCCCCCAACCTTCTGCCCCAAGACAGACACAGTCAGTTGCACAAGCACACATGTCATGAGTTTTGCCTGTCAGCAGCTAGGGGTGCAGGGCCTCAGAACCCCCCTGCACCGATCTCCTCAACAGCTAGCAGGCTTCGTGACCACAGCAGGGGCTACCATCCCTGCAGCTTTCACCGTGCTGTACCTTAACACACACGGTGTCACCCATGTCACAACTTTTGCTTGTCTGCTGCTTGAGGTGCAGTGTACCCCAAACCCCTGCACCTATCTCCTTGAAACTTGGCAGGCTTCATGGCCTCAGCAGGGGCCACCACCCCAGCAGTTTTCAGCCCACTGTGCCTTAACATGCACAGGGTCATCTGTGTCATCAGTTTTGCTTGTCAGCAGCTTGAGGTGCAGTTCCCCCCAAGCCCCTGCGCCTATCACCTTGAAACTTGGCAGGCTTTGTGGCCTTACCGGGGCTACCACCCCCCTGTGGTGTAATGCATACACGTGACACGAGTTTTGCTTTCATGAATTTGGGTGCAGTTTCCCCTGAACCCCTGCACCGATATTCTTGAAACTTGGCAGGCTTCATGCTCTCAGCAGAGGATACAACCCCTGCACATTTCATCCAAATAAGACAAAAAACAACAATGTTATTTATATTTCATTGTTTCCCCATTATATCCTATGGCTGGATCTCCAAAGCAGCTCCAAAGCTTTTCTGGAGCACTTGGGAAGCTCCAAACCACTTCGGAAAGCCTAACAAAGCCACCGCTTCAATCCAGACATGCTGCTTAGGACACCAAAGCATCCGAAGCTTCTCCAGCTCCAAAGCTCTGTTTGAAGCCTCACACAGCCCTAACTGCAAGTATTGTTACATATGCTAAGTGAGAGGTAGAGTATGTGTCCCATTTCTTTCATACATGAAACAAAAAAACATACCGCAAGGATACTGTTCTTCTAAATGGTAGCTTTGCTTCCAATAACCTTCACCAGTATTACATCCTGTGGTGGCCTAATTTAAAAATAACAATAACAATGTATTTTTAATTATATATAAAAGAACCTAAATTAACTGTCATGGAGATCATGGGAATTGGATATGGTCATATGCTATTGTATAACTAGAAATGATGGAATGAAAAGGTACAGATTGTAAGTACAATATGAAGTTGCATCAGTATGGAAAGGTATCTCTTAAAATTTTAGTATTCCGTGCTGCTTTATTTATTATTATATCCAGGTTTCATGAATGGAAGCTACACTTATAATTATTTTCTACCCCTCTCTTAGATCCCAACCTGTCATTCTAAATTGATACCAATTCCTGTGTGTTTTAAAAAAAATGTGTTCAAGTTAATTTTTATTGTTGTTCTGCCATGTAGGTTAATCTCCGAGATACTGATGTCAAGCTCATGCGCCAGCTGCTCATCATCAATGAAAGTATTGAATCAATCAAATGGATGATTGAAGAGAAGGGAACCATCGTGAGCAGAGGCAGTAGTTTGAGTGGCAGTCTGTGCAGCTTGCTAGAGAGTCAGGAGACTTCCCTGCGAGGCAGTTATAATAGTTTACAAGACTGTAGCGATGGACTGGATGGAATATCAGTGGGAAGTTATCTGGACACTTTGGTGGATGATGTCCCTGGTCATCACACCCCTTCAGACATGGACCAGTTCAGTGATCCTGCTATTTTGGAGGACTCACAAGCTCTGCATAAGCATCCCAAAATTGATTCTGATGAGTACTACTGCTTTGGTTAATAAAAGGAGTTCCCAAACAATGGGAGTGCACTTGTCCCTCTCTTATGCTGCTATTTTATTTTGTGTGCAAAAGGAAGAAAAGAAAAAAATCCCTTTAAAGAAAAATTTATTTTGAGACCTTTCTTGTTGCTCCTAACATTTCTTCTTCTGGGTGGTTGGTTTGCTTTTTCCTTTTTTGTGTCTTAAGTTATTGCTGTGATTTTGTTTCTTTTGTTTTATAATGCCACATTTACACGTTTTTTAAAAAGGTGAGGGAACAGCTTTATCTTCAAAATAAGACATCAGGGATTGAAAGGACTAATTTTGAATTTGTTTGACTACTTTCTGATACCTATATTTTGAAGTTAATATTCTTGATTATCAGATTGTAAATCAACTCAAAGTTTGTATACTCCCAGGTTTTTCTGTCTTTGGTCTGGATCTTGCAAACAAATATATCTTCAAGAGATTTATTTTACTTCTGAATAAACACTTTTGACTGAAATGGTACTTCTCACATACATGCATAATGCACATAAGCAGGTGCATAAAATTGCAGAGTTAGGGCTTTAGTTTACAGTAGACATATACTAATAAGTGTACAGGAATAAGAAATGTTCCTCTGTATACCAGGCAATATCCATTCTTCTTTTATAATGCAGTTTGATAAAGCCTAATGATGCTGGTATATTTAGGTTAAAAACATCTTTCATTAATACCAAGAATTTAAATTATCTTAAAACTAGCAGGCTTCTGAATGTGCCCACAAATATCCATTTATAGGGGACTGCCAAGTTAGAGATACCGAATTTTTATTTCCAGCAGTTTTGTATTAGATTGTTTTTTCTGTTCCCTCCCCGCCCCTTGGCCATGTCCAGATAAGTGCATCCACACAATATGTGGCATGGCAGACATGTCTGTGGTGCCACATACCACGTTCAGTTATTCTCCATGCTGCAAGGAAGCAGAATGGATATCCAAGGATCAAGAAAAGCAATGGGAAAAAAAGGTGGAGCAGCACATGTGGCAGCAGCGTGCACCTCCTGAAGCTGGAGCCTGGCCAGCCAGAGCCACACTTCGCTGCCAGTCGGGCTCTGCACAGCATGGTCACCAGTGCTGCAGCCCCAGGAGGACCCCAGGTAAGGCTGCTGGGGCCAGCCCAGTGCTGGCCCAGTGCTGGCCCCAGCTTCTTCTACCCCACCCGGGGTAACTTGGCATGTGCCAGAGCACAGGTGGCCCAGGCATTCCCCGGGGACAACTAGTGACATTGCAAGTTGCATTGCCACTAGTCCCTGGGGAACCAAATGTCCATGCACGTCTGGAAACGGCCCTTGAGTCTGTCAGTAGCCCTTCATAGAATAAAGGTGATTGGATTACTCTTTTGATATACCCTGCTTTCATGGTCAGGCAATAGATTTTGTGGGTACACAGAAAGCTCAAGAATCCCAATCTTGCTCAAGTCTTGTCTGTTTTCTTCTAGTGCTGTGCCTGTCTGGTCAGAGAAGCTTCCTTACCACTACAGGGCAAGCAATAAAATGTAAAGAATGCACATTTCTCCATTTCTCTACAACAGAAGTCACATGTGTGTCTATAATATCAATAGAGTCATTCCATTTTGGGAGTCTCATGTAATTCAATCCCAAAAGGTAAGAATCCCAACCTTCCTTAAGTTTTGTCTGTTTTCACTTAGTGCGTATATCAGTGTTATGCATGTTTTATTTTGGATGGGTAAGTATTTGGATGAGACACCTCTAAAGAATACTTAGTAGATGCTTCAGGAAGTTCTACAGTTTGGGATGTTCTCAAATTTTTTTTTTAACTTCGTATCCTAACAAAAAAATTCCTTCAGAAGGGCAGAAAGTAGACAAAGCAAAACTTAAATTGGGTCAGTAAACATAAAATTATGTATACTAAGTATGATGTGTGATCCCCATCCCCTCAATTTAGACCTTAGCTCATGATCACAAAAATCTTACATTGGCTTCAATAAAGAGGTACAAATAGAAATAATCAGAACCCATGTGTTGCCTACTGGAACAGCTGGGCTGTTGCCTTTCTCCCAGCTTTCTTTCACAGTGGACTGTCAGGCCACATCCACACAATCCCCGGGGCCTTGGCACATCTTGTGCTGCTACTAATTGTCCCCAAGGCTGCAGCAGTGGTGATCATGCAGCTTGGAGCCTGGCTGGCAGCTGGAGTACAGCTCTGGATGGCCCAGCTCCACTTTTTAGTGGTGCGCGCTGCCACTGCATGCGCTACTCTGTTTGGTTTTTTTAGTCACAGGATTTTGATTCCTGGATATCCAGAGGTCAACCCCCCTCTCCCACCTCCGCTGCTCCCTTGGAGCGTGGAGAGCACCTGAATGTGCGGTGTGTGGCGTCACAGATGTGTCTGTGGCACCTCGTACCACATGGCCATGCTCATCTGTACGCAGTCTCAGAGTCTTCCCTGGACACTTGGCACCCAGTACCTAGCTCTCTTTTGTTCTTTTTGTTTGTCTTCTAACTCCCTTGCTCTCTAGAACACCCATCCACCAATATACCTTGCTGCTGCATACTAAATTAACTCTGAACTCAGGAAAACAACCTTGGAATCAATATTATCACCCCGAGGGCAAGGGAGGAAGGGAGTGGTAAGGAGGAGACAAAAAGAAAAGGAACCATTGTTTAATCATCTATTTAAGTTTAGCTATGGATTTGGAAACTACATGTAGACTAAGGACATAAAAAAAATGAAGTCTACATGTAGTTTCCAAATCCATAGCTATAAACTTAAATAAACTTGTGCCATGTATCCAGGGAGGACTCTGAGACCGCGTACAGATGAGCATGGCCATGTGGTACGAGGTGCCACAGGCACATCTGTGATGCCACATACTGCACATTCAGGTGTTCTCCATGCTCCAAGGGAGCAGCGGAGGTGGGAGAGGGGGGTTGACCTCTGGATATCCATTTAACTCAAATAAACAAGACGACAAACAAAAAAACCAAAAGACTTCGCCTTCTCTTTCAATAAGGAGAAAAATCACTTATTCAGGCACATTATGCATCTGGAGACAAAGAGATATGGGAAGAAATTCAACAACAGTTTATATTATTTTTAATAGGTCAGACTTTGGGCTAAAATTACTTAGCAGAATTGCCTTAAAAAACATAGTTTAAAGTTTAAAATGCTCGATTTTTTTTCCTGACCTCTTAAGGAGATAACGGATTCTGTTAACACATTAATGGTCTGTGGTTTGTTCTAGGAGCGCAACTCTTGTTTAATCTTCATCCTGAAAACTGAAAATAAATTCTCTGCATTGCCAAATTGGTCATGACTAAGAGAAAATATCGCTGCTCTTTCATTTGGTCTGCAGTTTGCAATAGACGTTCCTCTTTACTCTCTGTACCTTTTGAAAAAAATCCAGAGCCACAACTCAGAAGACATAAAAGGAGAATCTGAGAAGAAAAATGAGAAATAAAGACAAACTGAAAGGTCCCCAGCTTTCCAAAGCTTTTTTATCCCTCTGTTTGTGGGCAGACTGGACAGAAAGAGAGATCCCTGTTGAATTACTTCAGAATCATTAAGAAACTGGATTTTTTCCTTCTCTAATATAAGAAGAGTATTATTTAGCTGGACTTGTAAGATTTAGAGGATAAATAAAGTCTAGTTCAGGGTCAGCAAATTTAGCAAAAGTGATCTATGTCAGTGCTTGTTCACTGGTATTAAGCCTCTTTTGCCTGTACTCTTATTCCTGATAAAGCCATGTAAAACTCTAAGAAAGGAAATTAATGTTTGTCTGTTTAATATAGCTCCCCTATTAAATTTCTTTTTTTTAACATTCTCAAGGGGTAAGATTAGTGCAGCGTTTTGATCTGAAAGGACTGGGGAGAAAAAATACACTCATCCCTTTGATTAATCTGAGATTCAGAGTAGCACAATAGGTAAGCTTCAAGGTTTTGCTTTGCTCAGCTATACTGGCCTACCTGTTGAATGGGCTAATCTCCTTGGCCATAGGAAACAAGGAGAAACAGTAAAGTAGCCATGAAAATTAAGGGATAAACAGATGCTTTTTTCAAGATGTTTTTTTTTTTTAATTGTGAGATTTTCATTTTGACCCAAAGTAACACAAAAAAACTAATTTGTCAGTTTTGCCACCTAGTTCATTAGATGCAGGAATAGACACCTTTTTTTTTTTACAACTATTCCAGTGTTTTTCTTCTTACCAGGCTCTTACACGTATACACACTTCAGTCCTCCTTTATTCTGCCAGAAAAGGGACTTTAATATTCTGTAGTGAAATGGGACTTTACTGTAAATAAGAATCCAGTCCAATGTTCTCAAATATAATTTAAAAGATACACAATTCCACTTTTGGGATCAAATTAAGTCAAAATATAGCTTCAAAAGCTGATATTATACATTAAAATGTAGTGGTACAGTTTCTCCTAATGTTTTCTGTCCTGCAGTGGAGAAAATCAAAATGAACTATATGTATATAACATTCAAGAGAGTAAGACAGGTGGAAAGCTGACTATGAATTGAGTTCATAAATGAGGCTTGAAATGAGTTCTCTGAGAAATGAAACTCTGTAATCCTTACCATATTATGTAGTCTATTACAGCCTATTAGAACAAATGGCAGTGTGTGCATCCATGCATGTAAGTGCATTATATAATTTTTTTGCAACCATAACATTTTCATACTCCTTTGAAAACCTATTTTTTTGAGAAATTCCATGTATTCAAAGAAAAACATATTTTGAAAATACCAAAAAATTTGAAAGTCAAGAAGAATTTGGAAGAATAACATGAATAATCTCTTTATTATCTAAGCAAGAGACAGCAGTTTAATAAGAGGTGAATGATGAATGAAGTGTTGTAGGAGGACAAAGAGCAACGTTTTGAATAACAAAACAAACCTAAGAAAAGTAAATGTTACCCTAAATATCAGAGTCATTTTTTTTTCGTAACAGCGTGACCTCTAGTCTACTGAACAGTTTCCAAAAATAAATTATGTCAGTAACTAATGATAAGGCTGGATGAAAAATTTCTGCTGATGGTGTATTGGAGA